AAAAAAATTACTTTTGCTTTCGGTATTTATCTAGAAACGGCAACACGTTTCTAAACGGCAACATTTTCGTCACATTTTGAAATGATAGTCAGACTTTATTTTGTATTATTTATACACAAAGTAAGACCCAGACTATTGAATATGCTCAATTCTTTGAAATTAGATCGGAGCGCAGTTTATTTATTTAGTTTTCTTAATTTTACGTAAATATATAATAACTGTTTATGGATGACACATTGGAACGCAGCACAAAGATTACAATTTCAAATGAATTTGAACTTTGTGAATTGTGTGAAAAGATATGCTTTAGTTGTATGTTGTTCGTTTGCATTATGCAATGTAGTTAGAGAGCAGAAAAGAAATGCAAAAGAGAGAGAGAGAGAAAGATTGCGCGCGTGAGAGAAGGAGAAAAGAACGACAGCCTTACAAAAATATCATATTTACCACTGTCAACATAAACAACGATGCCAAAGTACACAATTTTTTTTGCGCCTAATGTGTCCGAACCATTCGAATAAATGGTAGAATGCAATTTCAACAATTTTGAATGTTCAAGGCATGTGAGCAAATTGAAACCTGGAATCTCGATACAATCGCACAACATACCACAGCAACGATGGAGAAGAGAAAAAAAAAACTCCATTCTAAATAAAAATGTGAAACACGGAAGAATTCCACTGTTGATTTCTGTTATTTTCTTTGTTATGTGTGTGTAACTCGCGGCTCATTTTGTTTACATGAAGAAAAAAAAATCGAAAACAATGAATGCAACGAAATGAACCTTGAATAGGATTGGTGAAAAAAAAGTGAACGGAGCGAAGAAAAAGTGTAAAATGAAAAAAAAAAATATTTTTTCAATTTTCATAGATGTTCACGGTTGCAAGGAATGAATATGTGTACAGTGTTGGCATTTAACATCAAACGAGAGGAATAGAGCATATTGTCTATCTGAACGCTGATGAGTAGTGAGATCGCACATTCAACCAAAATGCAGAACATTTTTTTTGTCTATATTCTCTTACTCGCTCACTCATATATCGGCTGAATTTTTTTATCGTCATTCCCTTCGTATTACTTTTGACCTTTCACGTCACACACGTTATATATATATTTTTTTTGCCTTCTTTTGTACGTTGCTGTTGGTTGTTTTAATTCTTTTTGCTGTAGAAACAAAAACAGACGGACATCCCGACACTGACTGATAGAACGATTCTTTCGTATATGTTGTTGTTTTTTTTTGGTGTGCGTGAATGAGCGTTTTTTCATTGGTTATACAGTATCGTTCTCGCTCTTGTGCACTTTCCTTGGCCTAGCTTTTGTATATGTGTCCTCGTTGCTGTTATTTTTTGTTGTTGTTGTTTCTTCTCTTTTTTTCATTAAAAACTCTCCCATGTCGTTACTCCAAACAAAATGATAAATTATATGTAGTCTCCAAAGCGTACATCAGAACGTCTGTTCAAAATGTGCGTTTGTACACTAATACATATTGGTTGAAGTGTTTGTGCACACCGTGCAATTCTCGCTCATCACCACACCATTGTATATCTACATATAAACATGTTAGCTTATGATTTTATACTTTAATGTCTTCGCTTTTTTCTTCATGTGATAAATCCGTATGCTTCCAATTGACTGTGTTGTTTTCTTTGTATTCATTCATTCCTAATAGGTAATATTCTTTAGATTGAAGAAAATTTGTTGATGTGTTTTCTGTTTTTTTTTTCTCTGCTCCTCTCATATCGTTCGATTTTTGTGTGTGTGTTTTTTTTGTGTACTTGTTGTTGCCTTTGATTTTGCTTCTTTTTTTTTTGTTGGTATATATTGGAAATACGCCTGTATAGTTCGATACCTAGATCAAGGCTGACATTCTTACAGTCGTTTAATTTGTGATGTGTATTTGTTGGACCGTTAAGTGCCATGTGTATGATAAGTTTGATGTTTCGTGTGTTACAAGTATAATTTTGTACGGATGTTGGGAGATAGGACGAGAGTGAGAATGTACGCGTTGCATGTGCGCCATTTACTCTACCTACCATTTACTTTATCTATCGATAAATAACAAAATGAGACGAATAACACGTTCATTCGATTCGTACATAATGTTGTTGTTATATACATGTTTTTTTTATTTTGTTTCTTTTCGTTTATATTTCGTTCGTGTATGATCCATTTGTATGTGAAGCGAATGAAACGCAGAATCAAAATGACGATAAAGAAAATGGAATACAAAGGAGAATTCAAGTAAGATCGAAGAACAGAGAAACAAGAATATGCCGGGTTATGAAAAAACAACAACAACAAACGAATAGAAGGAGAAACTAAAAAAGAAATATTAAATCACTTGATTTATTCGTTTTTGGAGTTGATTTCGTTTATGTTATCTTATTTCACTTTGTCCTGAACATGTTGAATTTATGATTCGGTTTTGATTCGTCTTTGTTACCTGCTTACTCACAAGTGCAAGCACCATATGTCAAACTCTCTCGTAAAAATACCCAAACAAGCATTATTGACGAAGACTCATCGTACAATCCATTTTTAAACAAAATGGCCGACTGACATACACGCGCCCTCTTTCTCGCTTTCTCATCAAACAATGTCGAGATCAGTAATTAAGATCGAACAACAAGAGCAATAACCGTTTCGCTTTTAATACTGATCTGAGTTGCGGCGTTCTTTTTTTGCTGGTGCTGCTGCTGCTCTCATTCATTCGCTCTGTTCACTCATCATTTTCGTTTAATTGTTTTTTACTTCTTATCGTTTCATTTACCACCGTCATTCGTTCGCGTTTCATTCGTTCGCAGGGCAAAGCGATAAAATTTGTCCACGTAGAAATGAATACATTTTATTGTTTTCCGCTACAGCACACTTATTTACTCTCGTTGCTTTCACATCTTTCGTCTTGCAATTTTCGTGAAATCAAATGCTTAAATTTATTCTTTTCTTCTTCTTATTCTTATTCTTTTTCAATTAAGTAGTTAAATTTATAGCGGTAAAATGCAGCAAACGATATAGAAAGCGAGAAAAGAGCTAAGTTAATAAAGCGAAGAAAAATGGAATGAAGAAGAAAAAAAAAAAAAGATGTGAATATAAAGCAGTCAACAGAAATGCATGTGTGTGTGTCTTTCGCTCTGTGTGTGTGTACTAAAAACAATCAATTCAGTGTGCGCCGATTCGAATTTACACTTTTCCCAGCGATTGCGAGATATTTTTAGACAAATCTAAATTTAAAAACAACATAAATTCCAGGTTGAACTGACTCAAAATTACAATTATAAAAAAGTTATTTATGTAGAAAACAACAGACTTGCCAGCGAACACACAATATCCACTGTATACATCATTCAGGAAATGAGAGTCTTGTTGATGATGATGTGCGGTGTGTGCATTGCACAAAGCACTGATTCATCAAGTGAAAGAGCAAGAGAGAGTATATAAACAAAATTGAAATAAAAACGACTTTGCACATTATCACTGCATATCACAATGAATTGGAATACATTTCAAACATAAACGGTCCATTTAGTATCGTATCCAAATTCTAAATCAAAATGAATTTGATTGTATTAATAAATTTCATGGCATTGAAGAACATCATATGCTTGTGATTCTTGGTCCTGAAAACTGAACGCTTCATTCTATTTGTACAAGCTCACGTGATATTTTGCCATTAAAGTAGCTCAATTTGAGACTGAATCCATAACGCGCCCATACACACAGACACATCACACATATACACAACCACAATTGTTACACATATGTGAACGATTGAAAATAAAAACAAATCGACATGCTACACATACATACAAAATTGTATACATTAAGGTTTTCGACCGACAAAGAGATTGAATTTCGGTTAAATCGAATATTCGACTTTGTGACGACATTGTAATACCGTGTTATGTTTGTGTATTACTTTGAGATGAAAACTCTCTTTCTTACTTGATCTCTCTCTCACTCACTCACTCATTCTATCTGTTAGCTGAGAAAGAAAAATCGAGAGCAATACCAAGAGAAAACCATGTCTATACGGTAGAATTGAAAATGAACGTAAATGAAAAACCACTATAAGATGGCTGAGATTTAACAAACTATATGTGTATGTATCTATTTTCTAAATTGATGGCGATAAAGAAAAGTATCGGATTTCACGTGTATTTTTGTTGTATGGTTTTCTGGTTTCTCATTCAAGTTTGGACTTAATTTTTCATCATTTTTATGCCACTTCCTCTCAAATCCCAAAAAAAAATATCATACCTAAATGAACACAACATAGTCCAACTTGCTTAGTTCAATGTCTTTGATTTTCAGCGATGAAAAATGCATAAAAATAATTCACCAAAATGCAAAAAAAATCATTTTCAAATATACAATGTGTTTCCCTTTCAAGTTCTACTTTTCTGCGAAATTTGTGTGTGTGCGTGTGTGTGCGCATGAGAGAAACTTAATTCAAAGTCGTTTTTGTCTAACAAGTGTTTTTATGAGAAATCGTAAATGTTTTCTCTCCTGTTACAATCCATCTGAGCCATAATAATTTAATATTTATGTGATTTACGACTGCAAATCCAAGTAGAAGGGTATATGTGTATGTACGAGCGAGTGAAGGAGAGAGGGAGAGAAAATAAAAAAATATTGTGTAGACTGTAGCCAAAATTTGACATTTATATTTTAGTGTTTTGTTGTACAGGACAAACGTTCTAACATTTGCTAGTTCAGTTTTATTGCAGCTCTCGTTTTAGAAAAGAAATTGCGCACTTGACGAAGGCGCTATCACGAAGAAAAAAAAAAGATATGAAAAAAAAAAGTTGGTGTACACATACATTTGCATGCATCGATGCTTTTTATTTTCAAGGTGAAAACAAAGAGAGAGAACGACCGTTTGATGTATCACAATTTATTTGTTCTTATTTATTTCGTTCTTATTTGTTTTCATCCCATATATAATAATGCATATAGTACATTTAGGTTACTCATCAAAATGCCGGGGAAAAATTACTTACCACCGATTGTTGCGAATTAGGTGAGTGCATGGCTTCATGCTCGTGCTTTTCTAGTTGATCACGATTTAAGAACGAGGCGGAGCACTGTGAGCATGCGTATGATCCATCCACCGATATGCTCGGACTAATGGAACTACCTCTTTTTTCATCATTGATTTCTTCTTTGTAAGTAAGGAGCATAGTCGATAAATGTGTTGATGTCGGTGTGTATTGTGGCTGCTGCTGTTGTTGATGCTTCAGAAAAAAATCAACTGGCATATTCTTGTTATCGCCAGATAAACCTGACACTAACGATGGAACTAAATGGCAAAAAAAAAAAATGAAACAAAAAACAACACGAAATTAATGAATATAGAAGATGAACATGCATAATTATTCAGTCGACAATTGATGACACATTTATTATTTTGAATTTAGGATTTTTTTCAATATAAAATTGTGAAAATGAAAAAAAAAAAAAAAAGATTTGCCCAAACAAAGTTTAAATTGTGTAAATCACCTTGAGACACATTCATGCATACACTACGTCACATTTGATAAAAAAAAACACACACACACAAAATAAAACAAAAACATTTTAAACGAATTACCAAAAAAGGGCAGAAAAATAATTTCAGTTTTTGGGTTTTTTGTTTTTATTCGCTACTCTTAGTCATTCGGTAGAAAATTAACAAAGATCAAAAAGTTGACCAGAACAACATATGTTATTCGAATTTTGCATGTGTATCTTTATCAAGCGAATGCAAAAAAAAGAGAAAACGAAAATACCAACAAACAAAAAAACAAACGCGTCAAGATACAACGAAAAGAGATATTGAAAGAGGCGTCAAAAATGGCGGCGAATAGTAAGTGCTATTATTCTTTTATGTTTGATTAATGCGAAAATGCAAAGAAATTACTGTGCCGTTGTGGTTGTTGCTTGAAGCGATATGGAACACGTGTATAAATGCGTATAAGTATATGAACAGTGCGATGATCTCATCACCACCGCGCACGAAATGCTGTCAACGAAAAATGAAATATCAACCAGCCAACCAGCCCATACTGTATTGAATAACACGAATAAACCAATTCTGGGTATTCATTTGCAATGCAATTTAGCTACGTTTATCATTTCAATCAATGGACATGGGACGGTAACATGAATTGTATTTGAAAAAAAAAAAACAAACGAAAACGCGAGCTTTTGCTTCGGAAACGACGTTCGCAAACGATGCTCTCATGATTATAGACAATATATATGTTCAAACAAAAGAGTAGGGAGATGGAGACGCATGAAAAAGAAATCATTTCAAAATATAAGAACGAATTCTTCATTCTTTCTACATTGTTCATGAGTTTGTACACAAATAGAAGAAAAGTAGTAATTGTTGGTGTTGTTGTTGTCGTCGTCGTCGTCGTTGTCGTATGACGTTATTATTACAAGAAAATATGAAGCGATTTTACTAACGCATCAGCATGAACTCATCAATTCAGTTTATAGAACATTTGGCATTATGTGTGTGTGTGCTCTTGTAAAGAGTATGTGAGTGCACACAATGGCATGAATGCATGTGTATTTTTTTAGTACCTTAATTTATATCAATTAACCACATACGGGTTGTCTGAGCGAGAAACGACATAAAACTAAAAACGAATGAAAAAGCCATTGTACGATGTACTATCATATGCAGAATGTATGTATTGAATACGTTGGACATTTCATACAATAATCATTTTTGACAATTCCGTTATGGCAATAAAAGACTGTGTAGTGTACAAATATGGAACGTACGTGAACATTCTCAGCTCATACGGTTCTTTTTTCTCTTTTTTTCCTCATTATTTGATTGAATCTTTAATAATATCATTATATTTATAAAATTCGATGAATTTGTACCCTGGTTAAGTCAAAATAATGAGAAAATCAACGAAATTCGGCGAATTGTTGCTCTATGAGAGCAATTGAAACGGTGTTTAGATTCATGTAATATATTAAATAATTGTACTGGATACTTTTGGCCAAAACACACTTCTTTTGAGCCGTGTTTACGTAACAAAGAATACATACCCATACGTAAAATAAAAGAAGAGAGAGAGAGATGAAGAGAACAGGGAGATCACATGGAATATTGATATATGGGTACATTATATTAATATATTCGTAAATGTGCCTCCACAAATTAGTGAGTTCTTTTTTTTATTCTATTTTATTAAATGATCGCTTTAAATGTTCTGTATGTACAGTATTCGCCATCGATATGACGGCACTTTCATTGAATATCGACTCCTGCAAAAAATCATCTTTCATTAACGATACATATGTCGTTATGATAGTGGACACAATTTTGGGACGTTTAATAAAGAACTAATGCCCAACTTTTAATTTTTTCGCCGGAAATTTTGGGTGGCATTGCATACATAATTATCGGTGTATTTTTTCCATTTTTCACTCCAGATTCATTCAGTCTGTGTGATTTATACAACCTTGTCTTTTCTTTAATAACGAGTAATGTGTTTCTTCTGAACGTATGCGAATCTTTTGCAATGCAAAATGTGTGCAAATGTGACAATCAATATGAAAAAAAGTGACACAAAGAAGACGAAAAATGCGATCGTGGAAAGCAAATTGTTTAAATTTGGACTTCCATTTCGTTCTCGTTTATGCGATCAGTTTATTCATCTTGTCGGTTGATTTTTCGCTCGTTTTTCCATTTGCTTGTGTCTATATAGTATTTCAGAGAATTTGGCGGCTGGTTTATGTTGTTTTTGACTGCGTTTTTCTTTGTTCGAACATTCATCGTTTTAAGAAAAAGGCAAACGCATTGATGTATCGAAAAAAGTATATACTAAAGTGCATGAGAAAAGAGGAAAAAAGAATAAAATTAACGATTCGAAAAAGGCGCAGTGTACACGTTAGTGAGATATGTATGATGAAAGTGCATAAAAAAATGATGGATGAGACACATGTTTTAAAAATTAAATGATAACATGGTGTTAAACAAACCATTTTGCGGTCTAGTTTGTAATCTAAACGAATGAATGCAGTCCCATACATGTGTGATATGTACATATACGTATGCTGGAGAGTCACTCGATTTTGTATACAGAGTAGGTATGTGATCGGGCTTATATTCCGACACTTAACCGCAGCAACTACACCGATATATAACATAGAATTGTCAAATAAATTAATTAGCTTTTAAATTTTCGATAATTTTTCATTAGTTTTTTTTTTGTTTATGATAATTTTATTATTGGCTTTTGTCGTCCTCGTATGGTTCGTTTGACGTATGAAGAATGTTCATCAGAGACTTTCGTTTGAGTGATTTTTAGTTTTAATTCGTTTGCAATGAAGTAGAACGAAATTCATATTATCCCATTTGGAAATGGATGGTGTAAACGCGTCAACATTAACATATAAATTGAAAAGAAATGCCCCTCGATGTCAATTTGTTTGACTTTAAAAGTGTTCATATGTTATTTTGAAGAAAAATTACTTTTTATTCAAAATGAATATCTAAAAATATGTAATTTTAGAAATGTAGATGGAAATCTTTGCAAAATTTTGACGCCTTTGCAGACGATTTCACCTAAGAATAAAATTAAGAAAATAAATATAACAAAATAAAACGGAGAGAGAGAAGGTTCACCGTATCGATAAATAGGATATATAGGAAAAGCGCTAAAAATGAGTTATGACATTTGACAACTCATAAATTTGACTACGAAAAAAGTGACCAAACAAACACACCAAAGTGATTTATTCGGTTAAACAAAATTGTGAAAAGGCCATACCATCATCATACACTTATTATACACAGCCGGAATGGACACAACAATTTCTCAAAAAAATGCGTTGTTTCTATTTTGAAATAGCGGAGGAGAAAATTCATAAAAGCCAACATCAATTAACAAAATAAGAGCTCATCGAAATACCTGCCGTTATTAGCATGAGCTGAAGCTATTAAATAGCCGAAGGTTTAACGTAAATTCATTCGTCATATCTCATTTGAATTGCACGAGCGTGTATTTTGGTGACGTAGAATGAGAGCAAAATCGTAAAAGAGTCATCGAGAGAAAGAAAGACAAAAATAAGGAAAATGAAAATCATCTATGGAAATGACCTCATTTATATATGACAGCAACAACAACAACATTTGTGTGCGCTTATGTCGATTCGATGGTGTGAGATAACATATACACGCGGTTAAACAAAAATATCGAAAATCACTAAATAAACTGTTGTGAAAAGCGAAAAATCAGTGACAGAAAAACTGTGTATGTATATTCATAGCAATACATTTAGAGGCACGTTAGTATGAACGTGAGATTTCATCTATTCGACACATATACTTAACATTTCAGATGAACGAGAAAAAAAGATCACGCTTTAGCCTCACAAATGTGCGCTTGCTGTTTTTATGAATGAAAGTCCACCAAACGAAAAATTATAGATAGTATATTCGACGACGTGTATGACAAACATATATTTTAAAATTCAATTAAAAATTCTCACAGACTCGATCCTATTCTTACTCATCCATTCGGGGAAGCGCAATTTTTGGTTTAGCTTGTTGAATTTTTGTCGTGCAATTTTCGACAAACAAATATTTTAAATATATTCTCGTACATTAGTTTATTAATTCTTGCATTCCAAGAAAGCTTTTTTTTTTTAAAAAAACCATTCAAAGCAAATGAATATATTTGCAGGCGAAACTGTCGCAAGCTGCCTATCTTGGCATATATCTGTTGCCTGTGCTAGTTTGGTTGCTTTATTCTTTTTCTACTTACATCATCATCGACTGGTGTTAGTGTTTTTGTCAATCGATCGTATGCATCAACGTAATTTTGACAATGCTGGAAATAAATAGCTATTTGTGGGGTCTCAAGGCGCAAAATCTTCAATTTTTTTTTTTTCGAAAAATATTTTTTATTTTGAATTGGAATGTTCAACATTCACTCATTAGTTTTTAAATTGGTAAGCATAAAAGCAAACGTATAAACCACCTGGCAATCAGAGCAGTATTCTTTCTTCGGCAACAGAATAAAATGCATTCAAAATCCCGTTCATTCGTTCAATTCGAATATGTAATATTCGATTTGACATGATCATTGCGCAACGCACATGGGGTCCAAATAAAACAGCAAACAATTAATTTAATTCGAAAACGTTCGAAAAACGTATTGACATTAGGTAACAGTGACCAAACGTAAATCACCGTTTCACCCATTTTATATATGACACATCAAATAGAAATTTATTGTCACTGCAACATATTGGTGAGACAATCTTTATGACTAAACATTAACAGATATATATATTCCATCTCACATGCGTTGCACGTGCAACAAGAGCGAAAGAGAATTATTTAACAAAAATGTGGAAGTGTCGATGCGATATGAAAAAACCTCCACCTTCGACATTTTTCCAGGACCACCAATGAACGTATTTAAACACCAGAATCACCAAAAAGATCACAGATAAATAAATAACGTATTCGAAAATATGCAAATAGAACATGGCAGATATTGTGCGTATTGCATTTGAGTAGCGGTGTGTTGAAACCAGTTAAAAACGGATGCATATGTTTACATGGAAATTTATAAGTTCATTTGCACTTTTTTGTGCAGCTGCCGAAAACATCGAAGGATAGAGAGAGAGAAAGAGAACAACATCAACAACATAAATCGCAACAAACAACACATTCATTGATTGAATTGGCATTGGAAGTGTTAAAATGAACGTAAGAAAAAATCTATTCCACAATTATCTCATTTAGTATTTTCAAATGAATCTCTGAAGGGTGTGAAATGCTGCAATTGAGCAATTTCTATGGACAGTTTACCTGTCAATAGATGGCAAACAATAATTTCCATAGATTTGAACATAAATTAGCGTCATTGAATATCGCGGCCACACTTTGTTTACCGTATTTATTTGTTTCTTTGTGTATCGGTTTACAGGCATATAAATCGATGCGTATATATATATGCATGTGAAAATTGCAATTGCCCAGCAAAATGGAGAAAATGTGAACAATTTCCAATTGTTCGCTTCGGTTTATGCTCATTTTACATAACAAAATGGCATGTGCGTGTTTGTGACTGTGTTGGGTTATTTTTCGACTATAGAACCATATTGACATGCATACAAATTTATGGTCGGATCTAATATAGTGCAGAGGCTCTAGGCCAATATCGATACGGTGTTAAATTTTTGCACATAAATATCTGATGTTTTTGCTCGAAAGCATTCGATGAGTCTGGTGATATAAGAGTGAGAGAGCGACAAAACTATTGTGTTTTTAGCTTATGATGGTATGCCGAGACGAATTCACCACATAAAATCGAAAGTGCCGTCGCCGAGTTTGCATGGCATTACGTGCGATTTAGTTGAACCGAGTGGTTTTTATGCGACCATATGCAACAGTCAATGTGCAACGTGCATAATATGTAACGATTATTCAACCATTTCATAACCGTCAAACATGCTCCCAGCCTCCCTCTCTCTGATTTTTTTTTCGCATCAAAACGGCATACGACAAGGCTGCTTGGCAGCTAAAAGTCATTGAACAGACAAAACATATACACTCTATTGGCCGATCTTCAAACAATGTTGGAAAATTAATCATATGATGGACATTCAATGTCGAAATAATATTAAAAAAAATACAAAGAAAGACAGCAGCAACATACACTCCGCGACAAAATCAGAAAGAAATCTTTGCATTTCAAATAAGATTTTTGGAAAAATGTTACGCCGTGAAATTTGAAACGGTATACGCCCTATAAATCAAATTTTTCTTTTCAAGTTAAAATATCTGAAGAAAGAAAAATCTTTGTTGTGCAATGTTAGACAACATCTTGACTTTCTCCAAGAACAAAAACAATAAGAATATAATGATATCCAAGAACAAATAATATTTATTTTCGTGAAGAGATTCGTTGAATCATTAACCGAGAGAAAGGACATTTGAATTTACGAATGTGATCGTAATTGTCGGCTTGGATAATAAACAAAAAAAAAAATGAATTCCACGAAGTCGGCACAATTTTGTAAACAATATTCGATACTAAATAAAAAGCGCAACAAATGATATGACATTCATTTACACACCTAACATAGAAAATGTATACAAACAATAACATGACAAAAAACACGCAGCACTGTATAATTCACGGCATTAAAATAAACATCGTTATCATATTTCTGCAAAAATTTGATGATTTGGTTGAAAGTGATGGCGTGTGTGTGTTTTCCATGTTTACGATTTCGCTCACCGAATGATACATTGACTTTTTCAATCCTGTTTATGTTTTTTTTTTGTGTGCGCTTGATTTCATGTATGCGCAGAACAGAACCCGGCGCATTTCATCAGAACAGAGAGCATGATGCAATGTTTATTGTGTTTTCAGTTCAAATAACAAGCATTTGATCTCATTAAAAAAAAACTATGACCATTTGGAAAAAAAGAAGAGTTTATATCATCATATTCATCTAAACAATAGTGCAAATAATAGCCGCGTATATCCTTGTCAATTTGTTTCAGTGTAGGCTTGCAACTGAAACCTATTCAATTAAATTTGGTGGTTCAAATAACATAATAAAGTAATTGTTTTAAAAACATTGCATAGAAAAATGGTCGATTTCGAATTAATAAAAGTGTAATATGGTCATTTCAGAGTGAAAAAAAAGCGACTGACACCGTATAAACAAAGTGAGAGCAGTTAAAACAGACTTGCCATACCAACAACAAATTTGCAATTAAACACTTTAACACCAAACTATTACAACATGTCAGCCCTCTGCCATTAAAATACAATAACAAATTTGTTTATAATTACAGTTGAAAAGTTATATTTTTTATTATTATTATTGTTGTGCTATAGTATGGCGCACAAAAATGTTTGTTCGTGCAACAAATCTATTCGCTAAATCCGCTTCGAAGTCGAGCATTCACAGTGCATCGCACGGTTTCTATGAAAAACACATCCAACACACACATACGTTTTTTTCTTTTCTTCTTTTGTGTTTTATTTAAACGAAGCGTCTATTTCATTTGCTATTCGTTAACGGAGTGTGCATACACACACCATAAAATATGGATATAAAATGTTGTCGAAGTGTGCAATAGTCTTGTTACGAATAGTTATTGCTTTGGCATCAATCGATTTCATGCTAATTGCCACTAAAATGCTCATATGTAACACCTATTGGAATCTCTGTGGCTCCATTTTCCCATTGATTCTATCACGCCACATTGATCTTTCCGATGCATTTCGCAATGCATGGAAATTTCGAAGGTGATTTGTGTGTGTGCGTGTGATCTTAAATAGTAAATCATTTCGTTTTGTGTTGAGAACACTATTCCAACCGATTTACAATTGATAGTATGAAATGAACAAACGACAAATGTATTGAAGCGACGAATAATTAAGAAAGCAACAAACGTATGAAATGTTTAAAATTCGTCACCCGCAAACCACAATGACCACGAATTATATTCAATATCCGGCTAAAATTGTAATGGGAATATATGTAACCAAATGAAACCAAATCAAATACGACGAATATGCATGTTTTTGAATATGTTGGTGTTCAGTGAATGTTACACTGAACAAAATTATGATTATTTGCAATGCGATTCAAAATAAATCACAAATTAAACATCATCATCCCACATGCGGTTCACGGCGTTTAGTGTTCACTTATTATTATTTTACACACTATTTCTACTAAATTTTTTTTTGCATAATAACATTCAAATGCGCATCGGTATCGACTGAAATACGAATCATTCAAGTAAATGTGATTTTATGCGAGTACTCAAATGAAAAATTATGAAACCGAAAATGACATTCGATCGATCCGATATTTGCGAGCATTGATCAAAATAAATAAATGCGGAGGGGGAGAGTGCATGAGAGCGAACGATAGAGCGAAAGTGAAAATGTGCAATGGTAATTGGGCAAGCGAACATATTTCACAGTGAGATCAAAAAGCCAAATGTTCAAAATGTTTACATAGCTCGATTTAGTGTGCCGATTTTGATTGATGTCTATTTTGGTTAGAACTTCATGGCGGCATGCATGTGAACAAGTTGTACCGGCTTGTAAAATGTTTGAAGTTTTCTAACCAGTTTGTCGAATAGCAAAAGCATGTCAAATTTAATGTGTCAATTTCAGGAAAAAAGAAGAAGAAGAAGAAGTGCCATAACATATATACAGTGCACATATATGCAATACGCATTCATTCAAGAAATTATACATTAGAAAGAGAAATAGAAATACCAAACAATAAAAACGATAAAAAAGAAGGAAAGAACAAAATAAGAGGTAAGACAGCGTAAACCTGTTGTGCTATTAAATATTTATTCACACTTACTTTTTTGGTCAAAATCTAATAATGATTGGCTCGTGCATAACATAGTTGCTGCCATTGCTGTTGCTTCCGAACAAAAAAAAAAAATAAGAAAAAGGTAGGGAGAGATCATGAGCGAAAACCACAAATATTCTCTTTTGTGTGTGTTTTTTTTTATTATTATTGTATTTCATTCTTCACTACACCGTTGGATCTTCGGTCTCAGCAAGCGATACAGGCACACCTGCCTGATGCGTATGAATGCACAAAAGGCGCTTGCAAACCTATGATATGTCTTAGTTTCCCTTACTATTCTTCAATTCTACTTCTTTTATTTTTGTTCGTTATTGTTATATGCCCCCCCTCCCAACAGTGAGTGTCTTTTCATTCACCATTCATAATGGATGAGAACAGGTTTTCATAGTCCACCTCATTCACAATAAGACGTGTGTTTGTTTGTTTGTTTTGGTTCGTACCTTTATTCTTTTCTTGAGTGTGTACCGAATGTTTGAATAGTTTTTGGTGTCGACCCACCGAAACAGTATGTATTGATAAACAGCTATTAGTTATGGCAATGATTCAGGTAAACCATGCGTAAACACTTTACTAAATGTTGTCGCTTAAATACTTTTAAGCAATTGCTAAGTGTATTATTGAAGATTTTACTTTGTTACTTGGTTTTTATTTTTAAAGCATCTTTCACGAATTTCTCATCATCGCCATTTGTTTATATTTACTAAGGGGTTGATGCTGTGTTGACCACAAGCAACAAATGACTGATGACTGGAAATGAAAATGTAAACGATAACAGTAAGTGTGTTGAAGATAAATATTTATTCAAATGGTGATTGTCTTCCGTATTCAAACAAACTGGTACTGTTATGCATTATTATGTAGTCGGTTGATAAAGGTGACTTCGGAGCTATTCTTCAAGTCCATCAACAAATACAAAGGCCAATTTTGATGACAACGAAATTAAGCGATAATGATGGAGAATGGAAAAAAGGTGGTAATCGTAATCAATCTTCAGGAAATATGCATTATTACTATTATCACAATGTTTTCAGTGATAGCACAATTTACCAATGGAAAATGAAAGAGACAGACACACACAGAGAGAGAATGACAATATTTGATGATGCGATAGCAACAACACAAAATTGTCATTTATGCTTATGTTAAAATATATGATTTGGTCATTCATTTACAAAATGGTGAGAACAACGACAAAAGGTTTCCAAACGATAAACTTTGGCCGGTTGGTAAAACATTGGATTGGCATTCCATTCAGTTTACACATTCGAATCAAACATAAACATATTTAGTCTCTTCAATAAACGCCTACAAAGAAATGTTGTTTATCGCATTTGTTGATCGCATAATCGACTAAAGTAAAATGCATTTTAAGACACAACAAAACAATATCAATCATTGATTTCATGATACACCTTTGTTTTCTCACACACATACAATTGATGTGGTGATGTTTATATGAATCGCTTAGCGATACATTCGATACGATGAGAAGATGATACGAAAGTGTACGTTGAATTGTTTCAATATTTAGTTCACCTTTAGTCGGGACAAAAATTGTTTGTGTTTGCACTTCAGAAAATCGGCATTTGGATTTGAATTGAGTCAGCTACGGCGGTAGGTACAGTGAAACAAATAAAAAAAAACGAAAGAGAGGCAGAGATAGATAGAGAGAGAGAGATTGAAGAAATCAAGAATACAAACAATGCCGTATTGCTGTTGCCGTTTATATGAATTTATTTTACATTTGATAAATTCACTCACGTTCACATTGTGGCACACAGACACATACACACACAAATGTAAAAATATCCTATTTGCACAGAGAAGTACAAAATGTTCAGTGATAATTTTCTTGCAATTTGTCGATTGTTCTTTGAACGATTGTTTTCTCGTCATCATCAAATTCAAGATGACTTTGGACGATTCATGTTCGATATCGATAAAAACCAATATAGATCAACGTTTATTTGCCAAAATCATCTTTCTGAGACAAAAAAAAAAGTGAGGAAAAAAAACAATGTGGACTTGTATTCTTTTTCGGTTTTAAATGTTGATGGCAATTGACACAACACCGTCGATTATGATGATTATGTTGTAATTTTATTATTCTTGCCGAAGTTGTTGATTTTTTACGTGTTGAATATGTTATTGTGAAATAGTTTTGTCGAATTGGACGAATGTTGATTGGAAATATAAAACGTAATTAACATTTATGACAAATTCAATTAAACTATTTGGACCGATATGAGTCAGAATTATAGATATAAAATAAACAGTGATGTTTTGCTTTTCATACGACAAACATATCATCCCAAAAAAAAATCACTCACAAAATTGTTTATCGAAAATAACTTTGAAAACTCATATCATTTCGAGCCGTTGCTTACCACTAAATTTAATAGTAATCCACAAACTTTTTTAACACAAAATATTTTTTTTTTTGTTTTTTCAAATTTATTTCTTTTTCGCGATTTTCACACAATGAGTGTTTTTAATTTATTTCTTTTTCGCGGTTTTCACACAATGAGTAAGTCGAATCATTTAATTGATCTTTTCTAAAAAAAAAATTGTCTCAAATACCGAATGAACGATTTTCTATTTTTTTTTCTCTTGTTTCTTCGAATGAAAAAAATAAATTCAAACACACGCCGACATGAGGACAATCGAAAAATACGACGCGTTCACTTCGACGATTCTCTCGTAAGTGTGATTGAACAAACATCCAAATATATAAAATGCGTTCATCGAATGGATACGGTGACGCAGCGGTGTGCTGATTCGATCCGACGCATGTCTCTTCGCCAGCAGGCACGAATTCAAACAACCGAAACGCTAGACTGCATCTACATAGCACCAATATCGCAAGTAAATTTTTGTTTGACTTGATTTACGTGTGCATGTGTGTGTGTATGTGAGTAGAGGTGGAAACGGAATCGTCTTACGTCGTGTGTTTCGTTGTTCGTCGTTGGGAAAGTCCCACTTTTATGGTGGTACCTGCCTATTTTCTCTTCCCCTGTTGCTACTTACATTTGCATCTAAATGCCATTGTCATTGTCATGGAGTAACCATGTGCACAATTTTACTCTTTCAAAATGTGTTAAAAATATATATATAAATCGCTGTATAGTTTGTTAAATAATTTTAATAACATTCCGAAGAAAAACTTATGAACGATAAGAAAAAGATCATATTAATTGCATTTGCAAAATACATGATTTTAAGTAAAAATCTGTTTAAATCTTGTTTGGAACACCAATTCAGCAGCTGGCTTTGGAAATGTAAAAACAGCAGGGCAAAGGCATTTCCGATTATTCTTTCAACGCATATCCGTACTGGATGCAATCGTAAAAATCATTATCAACACGTTCATAGGGTTTCTCAGAATCATATCCAAATAATTCATTGTTTAAAGAAAAACAATACAGATGTTGCTTTTTGGTTTAGTTTTGTTTTTTAATTCTGTTTTCTTTTTAGTTTTGCTCCCTGTGTTTTGAATAAATGTTATTTTCCTTGTCTTATGTGTTTTTTTTTTCTGCAGTGTTTAGCATTGAAGTTTATCTTATTATTGCAAGCACATGCGGCCGCACGTTCCATGCCGGTCGAAGTGAAAAAAAAAAATTGGAAACAAAAGGATAAAAAAATGAACCGTAAAAATTCTGAAGGACCAATTGCTTTGGTCTACATCTCAATGAACAAATAAATTTTCAGTAATCACAACTCTACTTGGGAAGAATGTGTGAAGATGGAAAAAAAATATGTCCGAGATAAGAACATTTGTTAGCCAAATGTTAAAATCAACATCTACTATGGTAGTTATGCCCAACAAACGATGCATGTTGTTGCTTCTCCCTTTTCGGACTTTAGTTGTTTTTCTTTAAATTTCCAATAATGAGACATTGCGTACATTGCATGGAATGCACTAACAAGGTGAAAAATCGGTTTTTCGACACGCCATGAAAATTATTATTATTCAAAGCGATTCATTTAATTTATATTTATATCCATGCCATCTGGATTCAAATGGAATGGAAATGAGAATATTTATTGCGTATTGCATTTATGTGTCGCTGAGAATGAAAATGACTTAAAGAATTTTACCTCTTGCTCTTGCACACATAGATGTAAATATTGATCGATGTTCAGCGATGCAGGCGGTACGATGCTCTAAGTCATTCACATTGTCAGCTCGATATGAAAGGGAATATTTCATTCGGACAGGGTTCTGTCGAAATATGCATTGATTCCAGTATTGGACCAACTTACTTATTTTTCACTAATACATTGTGGTTATTTTGTTGCATCATCCGTTGTACTTCATTAACATTTTCTTTACTCTTTACGATGTATTTGATTTGCTTATTTAATGTCAAACTTCAAAATAATCTGCGTGGGATTGTGTCGTTCGGTGCGATTGAAAATTCTTGAAAATTTTAATTTATTTCATTTCACAGGCGCTGCCTCCACACATGCAAACACAAACACATCGAATTCCGATATGGGTTTGAAGGAAAAACGGCGCTCGTGTGATAGATTCTTCATATGCATATCTTATGTCATTCAACGTACTGTTAACTGTCGTTTGATTTAAATAAACGGGGTAAATAAATCAATGTTCTGTTTTTGAAAACGAATATTTGTCACACAAACATTTTTTCGTGAAATAACATTGAAAATTCCATTACCACATACACCAAACGGATTTATAAATCTGAACTTCCAAATGCCCAATGTACCGTTTGATTTAATATATATTTTCGCTGTATTTTCGTTCGAAGACCTCGCAGTAAATCTACTGTGCAGCAACTGTCAAATGGAAATGCATTAATTTTCTTTCATTGTAGATCATTGTTTACGTTTCTCGACGATTTGATTCTTCAGGGCTTTGAATCTTTTCTGATTACACCATAAATACACAATCATTTGATTCAAATTAATAGAAGAAAGTAGACGAACGCTAGTTCATTCGAAGGTGTTAATTCATTTAATCATTTAGATATGAATCAAGAATAACACAAAAATTTAAATGGATTTTATGGTAATTTGCGTAATACTTGTCGGATTTATATTCTCTTACTCTGTTTCTATCTATTGTTCATCTACTTTGTTCTCACCTATCAGTAGAGCTTGTTGTGAATTTTTATTAATTTTCACTTAGTCGACGATGGTGAAAAGCGGCGACGAATAGCCAGTGATGCTATTCAACTTAAGACGCGAAATATGGAAATTAAATCTCTTTGAAATATTTATGTTTTCAACTAAATCTTCTTGCGTCTCCCCATACCTGATGTTTGTGAACGCTAAAGTATTTCTTAAATCTAGTGAAAACAACGATGAGAGAGTATGTAATTTTTCAGCTAAAATTATTTCAAGAGGAGATTATGTCTTTGGGCGATTATGTTAATACAGTATAACGAAAAGTGCCAATGGTGGAAAATTTGAAAAAAAAAATGCCCATTGGCAGTACTCATACAAAATGACCCGAACAGTGGGAATGCCCTCGAATCCCACCATATTTTTCGAAAATTTCTTTTGTTTATGGATAATACAAAAAACAAAAATGAATTGAATTTTATAATACACAGCGATATAAGTATTAAATGATAAACGAAAGATGGTAAATTTCTTCGCATTTTTTAAAGGAGATGTTAAACTTCAAATTATGAATGTAAATAATTTAAAGTTATGTGAAACCAGGTCAACAGAGTAAAAAATGCTCAAATTACGGCACCGTGTGGAATATTAAACAAATATGTACGCAAGCAGCATAACAATTGTGTAATGTCGGCGTATGCGAATTTATCTATGCTGATACATATGCGGTACGGATATAGCTATGTTATATTGAATCGTTGCATATATTTTCATGAGTGGCCCTGATACTACAGATCCCGTTCACTTGCTATTATCAGTTATTAATATACCAAAAAAAAAATGTCAAATATGTTCAGTTAGGCATTGGAAATCTAAGATTTTAGAAAACCAAATACTATAGACATTTCAAGGCAGTATTAAAAAACACTCCATACCTCATTCGTGCTATGAGTCATAGTCTATACCTTCCCACTGGAACCCTTGAAATAGACCACACATTTTGGACCAAAAAAAGTTTTTAAGAAAGCGAAATTCGGAAATCCACATTTCGCCCATTGTTTTTGTCTCATATTTCCATGACCTTTCCAACGGTATAGAAAATAGCAATCAATGCTCAGATTTTGAAAAGTCGCCGTATAATATATAAGTATATATAGGTGGGTTGTTTTGTATTAGTATGAAGGGTTGCGACGCATGGAAAATTATCGGTCTCCATGATTCAAATATTCTTCGAATTGCCCGATTTTAATTGTTTTTTCACGATTGTTGGTGCTGATGTCACCGAAATTAAAATATCACAGTTTATAATTTGTTGGAAAAATGTAATGTTCTATGGCTTTTCGCAGAACATTCAAAATTACGGATTACACATTTCAGTTTTACGCATGGCAATCCATTTACAGAACTTATCGACAACTGATTCCCCTTTATCCAAATGACTTCTTACTGTTGACCAAATCTCTAACAAATAAATGCACAAATTGCGAAACGCATTGATGTGCAGCATCAAATTTCACTGTTATTTATTCGAAATAAAAGTGTAAATAATATCTCATCGTCAACGAAAAACCGTTAGATTTTTTTTCTTCCTCCGAATATGTACGTATCGAAAAATGAGCACACGACCGGTGTACAAATGCCACAATAGAAATGTCGATTTCACCCTCGAATTTGGTGTGCATACATTCTCAAAAGTTAAAGCTCAAACAATCAGATGTGAGGTTATTATATTTCATTATTTTCGATTCGTCTTGTTTGTGAAATGAAAACAAAAATGCAGACACATTTTAGGTGCATTAATGATTGCATAGATTTAGTGCGTGTCAGGGATTTTGTTTGCGTTGTTAAAAACCTGAACGAGATGGCAAATGGAATTGATTTAGTTTCCGTTTTGCTCGGGCAATGTACGATGGTCGTGTTCAACAGTCAAATTTGCTCTCCGTGTGTTATTCTCGCATCGTATGTATGCTGGTTCGGTTCTAATTGTGCAGAAAGCCTCAATCTCATTTCAAGCGTATTCACTTACCCTCCTGTGCACACGATTGGATTTTTTGCTCTTTCCTATCGGTAATGGTTTTAAGGTTTTAGTTTTTGTCACATATGCGGCATTAATTTTTAACGTTACTCATTTGCTCTCTGTCGCCTCTCACGCGTACACTTACTCAATCGCCCTCTCTTCGTTTCTCTATCAGCTTTTCTTTTTCACCGAATTGTGCATAAAATTTGTTGCTGATTTTCTATATGTTTTATTATGTACCACTTTTTCCCTACCTAACTAGCAACATTTTTTTTTTTGCCAGGACTTGATCAAAAAGGTGAACACATGGAATCTAATCGAAAAAAAGAAATGTAAATTCACAGAAAAAACGAAATTCCCCTCAAGCAAAAAATAAAATAGTATACTCTTTTCTAGCATACGATCGACCGGAACTAACATTGTTCGGAATCACGAGATAGTATTCTGCAGCAGCCGTTACAATGAAAGAAGTACTCTCACAAACAAAAGTGCGTCAAATGAAGTAAACACAAAATAAAAATTATTAAAACTATAATCGGTAAAAATCATGGAATGGTGAATACGTGGCACGCGACCTGCTTT